AGTACCTGGTGACAGGGAAATACTACAGTTAAGGAACAGCAAACTAATGATGTAGAACAATCAAAAGATCCCTCAAAGTAGATGCCACATTCACACTCTGAATAAACCTGACATGGGATGGGGACCTAGAGGGTTTTGATTCATAGGACCACGGACTTGGGAGAGGCATCTAGCGAGTCTGAGTGGCTGCTGCTTCCTCCTCTGAGCAAACTGGGCTGTTCACATACAAGTTCTATAGTCGCATCTCTACCACCCAAAGAAATGTTGCATTCTATATGGGAAATGTGTGAAGGAGAACCAAAGTGAAGGATTCAGAAGTAATTCAATTAGAGTAGAAAAAAGACATGCATTTTTTTCTCATTTGAAAGTAATTGATTTGGGTTGGAATAGGAAATATCCAATCACCTTTGTAGCAATAACGGTGGATAGACTTTGTGGCCTTTTTAGCTTAAGGAGGATAACCCCCTGTGTTTGACAATCTCTTCTCTCTCCTGAGTTGGGAAGAACATATGGAGCTTTATCTGCCACATTTCTGTACTCACTCTAGCGAGAGAGAATTATAGTGGAGGAGGTAGGGCCTGCTGGGACCCTCTGTCATATAAAGTGGAATAGAAGAACTACGAGGATAGATTTTGGGGGGATAACAGCTTTTTATCAGCCTAGAGATGATATACGAGCTTTCCAATAGCAGGATGTCAGTGTCTTATCTAACTCGTGGTTTGTAAATGACTGCTGTTAATGCAGCATTTACTATTGTATCCTCTGCATTTCATTTGTCCCTGACTTTACAGTCCACAGCATACTTGCACGCATAAACGCACAATGACAGATGTATATTTATTTCTATCTCTAGAAAATACATTGTATATTTGGTGAAGCAGGGGCATCTATGGGGGGTGTGAAAAAAGTCAAGATGATGGCCACAGCTCCATGGTTTAAGCCCCAACCCTTTTATATGTGCTGCCATCTTGACCTCTTCTGCGCCCCCCCCCCCGCCACTCCTGTGAACACAAACTCATCAGTTGTGAAGTTGCCACAAGCATTTTTGCTTATTTTTATTATGGTGCGTTGGCTGCAAGTCACCCTTTTAAATAAGAAACCCCAGATTATGAAAGCCAAAATCTAACATTCATGAATAGAGAGCATCATATTGGGAAAGACTGTTTTAAGCAATTGTTATAGGAAATGAATCAGAGAAGCAAGTGATAATCCACTAATCAAGCTTGCAACTAGATAAACATTTATGCCAGTGCTATGACCTAACCCTCTTTGCTCTGTATCATTCTCTGCATTCCAGAATTCCTCAGACTGTCTTGCTTTCTTACAGTTTTCCACACAGAGGTATTAATCTTATGGCAGTGTTGTCCAAACTTGGCCACTTTAAGATGAGTGGACCAACTCCCAGAATTCCCCAT